CTGCATGAAGTACGTACATGTAATACGTTGGAGACGAGATAATTGGTGGCCCCGCCTTTGAAGGTCGTCACTGTATGTAGCTGGTATAAGTCTTTGCGCCAAGCGATTGGGCACCCTTCTCCATTTCAATACTGATACTTCGAACCTAAAGTAAACACCAATGGTTACATGTAGGTTAGTGCTCTATCCAGGCGCGATTGAAACTCAATCTTCGAATAACAAAGCTCTTATAACAGTAACAACATTATAGTGTCGCCTGCAGGCCCCGCTCATGATAATACCGCGTGTGGAAAGCTGTGTAGGTACTTGTATATCAAAGATCGGGTTCCGCAAATGCGCAGCTAGGGACGCGGGTTAGTCAGTTGAAAAGTTAGCTTCAAATCTGTCCAAGCTATGCGTACAGGCATCGACCGATTGTTAGGCTCGATGGCGATAATTGTTTTAGGTGCTTTGGAGTTTAGCTATCTCGATATCTCCTTGATCTCGGCATTTTAATTCACGAAAGATATGATATTCTCGCCTTATACGTTGGTCATCCGAATAGCTAGTGCTTTCTGGCGAATTACACTCAGTGAGTAACTCCATATGTATGTACTATAGTATAAGCTGATAAGATTTGAAAATTATATTTCCTCCAAAGCTGGTGTCTGTCTGATATGTACAGTTCTATCATAGCTCTAATAGCTAGTTTGAGGGGGAGGGGGGGCTGCATGTACGTAGTACGTACATGCATACATGTATACTCGTATTTCTCTGACGTTTGTGGACGCGACTGATATTGCATGCCATACAAAAATACGCCAAGCTCATGGTTTTGGGTGTATGCAATAATGGCCCAGTTCAAAATCGTCAGCGAAATACGAGTACATACATGAGGATTAGGAAAGGGTTTGCATGTTGTTCTTCAATGACCCACGGTTATAGTACATACTTGATAGTTAACTGCTATTCATGGTGAGCGAGTTGGTAGTCAAGGGTCGGTGAGTACATGTAGCCGGTGGGGGGGCTGAACACTGTTACAGGACTGGACCGTGCTAGGCTTTACTCAGCGTATCAGAAATACTTACTATCAAAATCCTGACATCCGAATGGCCTTGTTGGTAATAGAGAAATATTTCCCCTTTACACCTAGCTAAAGCCAATAGGTTTAACGGAATTATACAACTGTAAATATACAAGCTTTCTTGTCAAGCCTTTAATTCATGAGCTATCACCCTCCTAGCCATCTTCTAGCTCAACTCAACATTCAACAATATACTTACACGTTTTGATCAACTAGTTAGGAAGTAATTCTAGGAAATAGGTCGCACTCTTTCTTTTCGTTCCCCCAGCAATGGAAAATTCTGCAAATACACGAGTCAGAAGGACTTTTGACATACGAATACGGCCGGCCAGTGACTCAACGAAGAAAACGACTCCGGTATGTAAACTCACTAACTCAATGTCTACACAGATATTTACTCTATCTTATAGCCAAAAAGAAAGTACTCAAGAGTAAATACACACGAAGGGCGAAAGGAACAAGCAAAGATCAAAGTGAACCCTCTAGCAAACGAAGTGACTCAATTTTTGGATAAGGTACTCATTCATATTTAATCAAAGTTCTCATCACTTACCTAGCTTAGCTAACATGAGTAAATCATAGAAAATAGTTCACTGTACTCTTGCAGTCCAACCAGACGTAATAAACTCAATCTATATTTGTATTCTTAAGAATCCTAAGACTTAGACATCGCAGCCAGCAGGTAAACAGAGTCAGCGATACTTTGGGTTATGCAATGACCCTTCGCCGGATGATGAAGATTCCGATAAGGATGACCGATACGACGACAGCGATGATGAGGATGATGAGTACCGCCCCAAGCCAGAAATTACAGGCATGAGGATGAAGTCAAGTAAAGAAGGTAACCCGGCGGTTGATGGGCCTAAATATGAGCAGACAGGAGGTGTCTTATGGTATCTCCTGGACAAGCTTGGATCAAGCACAAAGTTCACGAATAGCGAAATTAGACATGAAGGTATAAACTGTTTCGCAACATTCTATTCAACATATGTAACTAACCTGTGGATTAATCAATTAGCGCAGCGTGCCTGGCGCCGATATAAAGGATGTAGGCTCAATAGTAGCCAGAAGCTTTGTGTCTTATTAGCAGTCAACATCCGGTGCAGGCAAGCTACATTCATGGAAATCTTGAATGGCAAGGGGCAGGGAAAGATATCTGGGGGGAAATTAGCCCTGAAGTAGAGGCGCATGAGCAAACTGTGATGTATCTTGGTAGCTGTACGAAGAAGAAACAAATGGGAACACCACACAAAATCAGAAGCACTCAAATCATGACCTTAAAAATTAGATTGCACATGCCTGAAGAATGGACACAGATATTCTAGAATCCTTTGAGCTCCGTCTTGAGATAATTTCCAAGAGCTTGAATTTTTTGATCAGGTTGGGTACATGTAGTTATTTCGGGTAGCCCAACATGGCTACTTTGGCTATAAAAAGGTTATATTACCAAAACTTCTGTCCTAGTACTATACGAAGTCAATTATCCATGATATCTCAAAGTGGAAAGTTTGGTAACTGGTCTTATAATTTTTCCAGATTTGAACAAGCTGCTACATATGTTGCATTCCTTCCGAACTTGGGACCGGAGCAAGGAATATTTTACTGTTTAGACAAAAACCAGAGAAGCCCTGTTAATGGCAGAATTAAGAGGCAATTGGCCGCCGGCCAATGGAAATACTATCTAGGATAAGGAAGCCAATTCTAAGTTGACTCTGCTGTAGAGGGATATGCCGCTGCTAAGCAGAGGCCTATCGTGGCTGAAAAATCCAAGGGAGCATCCAGTAAACAAACTTCGATCCATCACATTACGCACGGGGAGACTATGCTCTAGGGTCAGTATTTAGCGTGAATAGTTATAAGGAGCTAGGGGTATTTGGCATATTGGGATAACACACACGATCTGGAACGAGACCCAGAACCTCCGGAAAAATGAATAAATTATATGAAACGATATTTTTGGGATCGATTCTTCGCTATCTAGTCGGACCTGATACTGAACAAACACTAGGCCGGGAGGCCCGTTTTACAAGGTAAGGTCGTACAATTTATTCGAGTGGGGTAGACAATTAGACGTTAAATCCCTCCGTTTAAAGATGTCCTGGACTGTAATTGTCGCTGCTCCTATGGTAATCTATATTTCCAATATAATCATTAATTAAGTTCAAATTTATCCATAGGCCTCAGCTGCAGGAAAACAAAGGTGGGTAGGTATATGCGGGATTAAGTCCATATCCTAACGTCTAGCTAGGTAGCGTTAAGAGAGTGTTTCATCCTCTGGTGTTAGATATTCTGGAATAACATTTTCGGGGGGTCAACTTGCGAGTACTTCTTTCCACCTGTTGAGAAGCAATTGATTGCATGTTACTTCCACAATCCCACCTGCGTTTTACAGTATGGAGTTAATCTTTTTGATAGGCCCATTCCTACCCTTCTCCGATCCATTCTTTCGTAGCAGATGTTGTAGCCTTCTCTCCTTGTGCTACAATATGTAGTTAAGGGAGATATGCTGTACTTGAAGCTGGGCTAATCCAATTGATGGCTGGTTCAATTGATCAAGCTGATGTCGATGGCCGGCCGCTAGCACGTTAAACTCATGAAAGTATGCGATGCACTACCGGCCCCGCTCATTTTGAATGGGCCGAAAGACCTCAGTAGACCTTTATAGACTGCTACGTGTCCGATTGATGACATCCATGGCATCAGTATACATTATGCGAAACACTGGAACGAACGGTCACGCGCGGTCTCTTCATATACTCGATATCCTGCGAGCAGTGTTGCACTACATCTACCTACATATATGTAGCTGACTAAATATAAGCACCACTCTACATAATTATGTACTAATTGTATTAATAATACATATATACGCAGAGATATATATGCTATATATCAGTTAAGCGGAAACTTCTGTGCATTAATACAAACCCTCGTATTCAATTACCCCGCCAAATAATGCTCCGGCCACTCACAACGCTTCTCAACACAGCCGCATATCAGGAACATCATGCAAGATTTATGTTATGCAGACTCTTCTCTTTCGGGAATTCGAAAGATACTTAAGTTTAATCTTCAGAGCACATCTCCGATCCTTATCCATAGTGTGAATAAATTTCAGCCTGATTCTGAAATGGCCTGGACTGGTCTTCATGACGGCGCGGTCTGGCCGAGCTGTTTTGACGCGACATCATAGACTGGTTCAGCCTCGGATATAATACAGACAGTCTACCGGAACTGAATCTAAAAGCCTTTTCCCGGACTTTCCGCGATTGGCCTCTGCGCGCGGTGATGGTGCCAATTCTTCTAATGAGAATTGGTATTGCAGGATATCCCAGCAGTACTCTAGAGTACCTGGTAGAGTACCTACATATGGACTAATTGCCAAGCGATGGATGCAGTGCTCCTCTTTTGGCAAGTTTGGGAAGAGGCAATAGTATTTACTACTGGCTTATCGGCCAAACGCGTGATACGCATTATAAATTTTATTGTATTTGCCTGTACAGTGGACTTCATATCTCACTCTGTACGTAGACTCTATAGATTACAGTAGAGCTCGAGTATATACCTTGTCCTGTTGGGATCTAGGTAGAACACTGTCAGTCTAACATTGCTTATAGATAGATACATGTAGCTACATGTATGTAGGGTACTGTAACCTTCTACTCAAGACCAAGCTTTGAACTTTGAAAAATCTTCGTGCATAGCCTGATTGCGTGGATAGAGAGCTAAGGCAGTTGCTGCGCGTGCTGATCCTCAACTCCATCATCCTGCTTGTCCTTTGATAGCTGAGATATACCCAACTCCGGTGTCTTTCATATCTAGCATAGTTTTACTCTCTTGAATCACAAGGCACTCAGACGCCAGGTAGCTTCAATCTCCTTTCATACCTCCAGCTTAACTGCGAAAGATATATCCACAAAGGAAGCTTCTGGCTACGATGGCCACAAGGTGTCCCCTAACATACCTCGTGAACGATGTTCCACGCGGCGTATCCCCGATGGGCCTCAATCTCTTTCTCGCCGCTCTCGTAAGTGGCTCATCAACGACCGACTTTGAGGTTGGCCACTATATTGGAAAGAATCCTGAAGGCTCCCGCTCTGGAGATATCGCTAGTTTCCTAGCACTCGTGGAGAGCACTGCCGTTACAGAATCCCAACTTGACGACGAGCTCAGTGTCGCAACCATCACATTTAGAGAACCCCCGAAATGGTTCAGGAGCCGCGATTCCGACCCCTATGGCTTCCCAAAGAAGACGAGGCTGGGTACTATCTGGAAGGGGGTTGATATGACAGCAAAAGATGACGATGGGAGAACTGCGTTCATCAGAGCGGTGATAGACGGCAATCTCAAGCTCGCTGAGACTCTAGCGGAGTATGGAGAGACCGATATCAACGCCAAGGACAATCAAGGCATGACAGCTCTGCATTGGGCTTGCAAGAACGGACTGGCGGACCTTACGGCATTCTGTCTCTCACTTCCGGGATTGGATGTCAGCGTCAAGTCTACGGCCGGCCTGACAGCGTTCGATGTAGCGTACCGCGAAGCCCTTTGGGATGACAATGATGCCATCCCGACCCTTTTCTACAAGAACATGTTTGAAATGGACGAGTACGACCCTGATAATGCGCTCTTACGACTTCTCACGCTTACAACGGACCCCCGAGGAAAAACAACGTTTCCCAAGAAGCCCTATTTAGTCCATCGCGGAATGGCAATCTGCCTCTTGTGCAGGCTCTACTCCGAAACATGAGCTTCACCAAGCCAATCGTGTCCAACAAGTACAAGGAAACGGCACTACATATGGCAGCGGGAGGCGGTCATACAGAAATAGTGGTTCTGCTCGTGGGTCAGGCAGGTTTTGAGATCAATGCTGCTACCAAAGATGGCTGCACGGCATTGCACTACGCTGCCCGAGAAGGCTACACCCAGACTGTCAAGGAACTTGTAGATCGCGGAGCCGGTCTAGACATGGAGGACACCTGCGGAAATACAGCACTAGATCTTGCGGCGAAACACGAGCATCAGTCAACTATCCGTTTTTTGATGGAAAGGGGTGCAGCCATGAAGGCGAATAGTAATACGAACATCACGGCTTCTCTCCATTCTAATTTACTGGCGCATCTTGAGCAAGCTGGCGGCCACAAGGAGCAGAACACGAGCGAGCAGACAGCCATCCAAGCGGGCAGCCAGATATTGTCCTTTATGGATGATCAAATGTCCCGAACAATGAGCGGCCAGGGGGCGTCGGGTGTGGGCGGGCTGCAGAAGTCCATTCAAACTAGCAGCCAGATAACGCCCCATACGAACGGACAGATGTCCCAAGTTTCCGGCCAGATGCATAACCAAAAGAATGACCAAATTGTGCAAATGGAGGTGGCGCTGAGAGTGAAAGAGCTACTGCGTGATCATGGAAACGATGTCAATAGCAGAGACGACCAAGGAATGACACCATTGCATGTGGCTATTTTCAGCCATGATCCAGATGCTGTGAGGATGTTGATTGATCGAGGGGCTGACATCGAAGAGAGGTTCTTCACCTGGAGGTCGCCCCTCGAGATCGCCGAAGAGATGAACGACAAAGAAACCGTGGTACTCCTTGCGCAGAGTGGTGCCAAGTCCAGCGAGCAGAACGCGCGGGAGCGAGAGCCAAAGTTGAAAGCGCGGCAAATTACTCTTGAGAGAATGACTGAACAGGTCGTCTTCAAACCGCTGCTCCAGATTGAGAGCGTTGCGCAAGTTGCGGTGGTTTCCAAAGCAGAATTTAAGCCGGATCACACGGACGACGACGTAATGGATATGGAGATACCGTTGGACCAGGAGTTTGCCTCATCACCCACCAGTGAAACATCCAATGTGACTCCTCCAGATAATGACGGCCGCGAGGTATCCATCCCGTTTTTTTCTTCTTTTTTTCTTCTTTTTTTCTTCCTCCCCCTTCAACGGTTCGATACTAATCGGGCAATAATATAAATAGGAGACACAAAGCCCAGATCCCTACCAAGAGCAGGAGCGTACGATCCACCAGCCTCTGTTCATAGACATATCACGTAGTCAGACGCCGGAAATCGCGTATGACTATGTCGATGTATGCCGCTTTACACTTTCCGTCACCTGATTCTCCTTGGATACATAGCTAACGCAAATGATGGCACTCCAAAGAACACCCAGGATTTGCATGAAGTAGAATACGAAGAACATCACGAGGAAGATTATGGATGGGCAAGCCCGGCACGGAGCATGTCCCCTGAGCCCGAAGATAACCAGGTATTTCCCACACACACTCCCCTCATCGTTATTGGAATCCATTCTAACGCTTTTCGTTCAACCAAAAAAAGTACTCTGGGGGTTACGATGATGATGATGGATATGGTGGAGGAGGAGGAGGAGGAGGGGACGACGGCTATGGGGACTGGTAGGCGGCGGTGTAAATCTGATAGGGTTTGTCCTCCTGCTATCATCGAATGATCCATGGTATGAAAGCCGGTAAAGCCTTGTGGTTTTTTTTTTTTTTTTGGAAACACCCACTGACTGAACTTTGGGCAGTCCTTTTTCCCAATTTAATTATTCTCTCCATCATCGTAGGAACCCCTCAATATAATACGATTGAGGCGGCCGCATTCGGTAATTCTGCATGGAATGTATGCACGCGCGCACGCCCGCACGAGATGTTTGTACCAAGTTTTTGGCTCTGTACTCAACAGAGCTCCGTTTCTCTATGTTGTTTTTTCGTTGATCTGTTTATATATATGTCCCGCGTTTATGTACCGTGCATTACTCACCTCGTCTCCTATGTCTTGGATACTCTTAATCAATCGAATGGAATCTGTGTAGACTCCTCGCTCTGTTAAATGTGATGTAATGTCTCGAAATTGACACTGGACCGTACATGCCCGAACGGTTCGTAGGGCCTCGCACCAGCACGGCACCTGGATGCATCGATGGTGTATGTTGGCTTCGGCGCCGGTGCAAGATACAAGTGTAGCGCAACCCCCGGCCGCGGGTATATACATGTATGCATGTAGTGGGCAAGTATGCAGGTACAGGTACAGAGGTTTGGCTATGTACGGAATCTATATATAGGAACACCATACGAAATCAAAATTAGACACTCAAATCATGACTTTAAGAAATTAGATTGCACATACATGCCTGAAGAATGGACTCAAAACGATGCGGACCCCCCTATAACAGAGGAATTAAATTTGTATGAGAGATCTATTATTTGATAACGGGAACTGTTAGTAAAGCCACACCGAATTTGCTTTTTAGGGGGGGGGGGGGGGTCAGCATTTTGGCGACAGCTTAAGGGATAGTTCCAGCACAACGTCAGTCTAAAGTGGCCCACCGAGACCCGCTAGCTAGAACCCGGGAGAGTGAAAGAGTACTCTTTGTATATGTGAGGTTGCGGTGACTTGGAGGGGGGGGTAACGTTTGGAAGGGCTCTACTAGTCTCACTAGAAGGGAAGGAAAGGGTGTACTCTACATGCAGTCATGTCTAGACTCTCGACTAGTACAGAGAACATGCATGTATCCACCACGCCAGAGCTTGTCCAGTGCAGCCCGTCCCGCCGCAGGGAAGTAAACAACGTGGCCGGGTCGATCTAGATCTACGTGTAGATCATATTGTACCTACATGTACATACATGTATGTACATTCTCTATCTAGCCGAGAGCCACTGGCAGCAGCAGATCTACAGTACAGGCATCGATATGTCAGATGTGCTCCCTGTGTGTGTGTGTGTGTGTGTGTGCATAGACGTTGCCCCACACTGCAGTGACACCCCAGCACGTTCCCTCCTTCCCTCCCACCTGCGGACCGATAAGATAAGAGTGATAAGATAACGATAGCAGCATCTCGGTACTGGGGAGGTGAAGGTACATGTTGTGGAATATATAAACATGGCATGGAGTGTGTTTAGGATATGGGGGAGAGGGGGGGGGATGTGTTATATATGGAGGTCTGCAGCGAATTAAGATATATCCTACTGGCTAGTCTGTAGGCTGTCAGACCACCCTCTCGCGCGCTCTGTGTACCATATATATATATATATATACTTGCCGCAGCACAAGACATCTGGCCTCGGTGTTGCGATATCGTACATTCCTGTATCCACCATCGAGCACCACAGCGCCATATTCCGATAGACAAAGCTACTGTACGCGATGGTAACCGGCCTTGAAACAGAAACCTACTCTCCTATGCAATATGCGCTACCACCCGCCTCGATCCTGCAGCCTTAACGAGGCTCATACTCTCCCCTCTATAGGTGTGCGTGCTTCACCGCATGCACACTCGAAAGGTTTGAGATGTCTCATCCGGGACAGGTAGTATGAGGCGGCGACAGGTGCCCGGCGTGAGATTGGCCTCGCGGGCGTGTCTGGTGGTGTCTTTTCCACACCTGGGCAGGTGATTGCAGCCGCCGATACACCAGGAGCACTGCTTACATGTGCAGTATATATCTCGCCCACCCCGTAGGCGTTGTGCTGCGTGACGTATTCGACCAGTTGATGCTACATACATAGTCTCCACGATTCATGCGCGGGCATAAAACCGCGTCGTTCCGCCCCTCAGCGGACAGCGGCGTGTGGGTGTGTTGCGGACAGTCTATCTATATGCCCATCTCTCGGTGCCTCACTCCGTTTTTTTTAATTTAATTATTTACCTCTATGGGTCGTACCCTAGCCCTGAAGCTTCGAGTGAGAATCTGTGATTAAATAATTATGTCCATGTATTGTTTGGGAATAGTGGGCGTTGGGGGTGTTCTGTGTGGTGTATGTCTGTTGAGTGCTTGCTATGTGAGATATGAGTAGGGGGTGTATATGGCTTGTAGGTGGAGGTGAGGATGGTCGACTAGATGGGACGTGAGATGGGTTGTAGAGAAGTAGCGATTTGGTATATCTGCTTGGGATTTATATCTTTGTTTCTAATACCTGCTGGGTGTATAGTATGGATCCTACTGAGCTCACTAACTTGATGATATATCGACATCTATGATTTCCTTCCCATTTGGTTCATGAGGCATATTTCTATTCATGACCTCAAACTAACTACACTAAACCAACTACATAGCTAGCGCGACTACATACAACACATTCACAAGCCATGCAAGAATATATGTGTAGCTAGCACACAAAAACAGAGTCTTCCCGTACCGGCCTGCGTTATATCCCATTCCCTCCCCTTCATGACCACGCAGTCTACAAAGTCTACCTCCCCAATTCAAATTCGTATGGGTATATGAAATGATTGGATCTCCTATCCCCCAGGTCTTACCCTCTCGGCCCCACGTTCTCAAGTAGAATGACTGTCTACACTGGCTCGGACAGGTACATGCGCCGCTTAGCTGTATCACGGTCCTTCCTCTTCGTCCAACTTTTAGGTCCTGGCCCGACATCGTGTCCAGCGCCCAAGTACAGAACTTAGGGTCACAGCCAGGAGACGGCCACACTCCTCATGCATGGGCTCATCATGTCCCCATGATCAGGTTCATGGACGGCTGATCTGCAGCTGCGTATCTTCTCTGAATTGCTTATTGCGATTGAGCTTAACTTTAAACCTTTCTCCGGATTGGCCGCAGCTGCGGGTTCATTGGAAAGACGAATATACATATGTATGTATGTACACTTTCTTTTGTTTTCCTCTTCTCTCCTCTTCTCTCGACCTCTCGCTCTACAGTTCAGCTAGGCGAATACCTAAGTGAGCTGGCTCTGGCTCCCACATGCGTGCTCAGAGAATCGAGAGGCTTCGCATGAATCAACTGGCGTAAGAGCATGCGAAGCGATTGGCAAGCAGCGGGGCGCTCTGTCTCGATGCGCGATACTGAACATTTTGTATATCTAAAAGCACATATACATATATACCTCGAAAAAAATAAACAACTGCACAGCTCCACGACCGGCCTGTCCGCATGGATACTTCCCCGCAGTATCCTCCACTCCACCGTAACATTGTGCGCACTGAGGGATTCAGAGCGAGGGGGATGTGCTTCCAGGGTGAGACAGTGGGGAGAAGCAACATGCGTGTCGTGGCGTCAAGCCCGGCGACAATCGACTCGATATCAAATACTCGCGCGGCAACATCCGGTGTTGCTTCACGTGTGTACATATTTGGATTGGCGACAGGATGAACCCGAGTCATGGCCATTGATTGTGTGTCGCAAAAGCTGGCGGTTGGCATAGAGTGGCTGTTAGCTGTGAGCGAGGTCGGTTGTGACCGATGGGTGTACAAGGCTCTGGCATTAAGTGAGCGAACTAAATGGGGTGTTGACTAGTAAGGATCCGTTCACTCACTTAATGCCAGAGCCTTGTATGTATTGTTTCAGATAACCCTAACCCTATAGATAGTTACGCTCGAACGATAAACTCGGAATACCACATTTTAATACCCGTGAATTGAGGTCTAACAAAGCTTTATACAGGGCTGGTGAAGCCATAGCTGAGTGGCTGACCGCTGATGTATACGCTACATACCTTAGGTAAATCATATGGAGCGTGATATATAGTTGAGGTGAAAAACGAGTGATATATGGTGATTACCGGGCGTCTTTTCCTAATTTCTGCACTCCCCCTACCTCAATGCCCCTTAACGGGGCGGTGTCGCTGGGAGTGGGTTATGGCTTAGGTTGCGGAGAGTAGATTGATTCTCTTGGTGACCCTCCGTCAATAAACTACCTCTAATTGAAAAAAATGAATTGGGTATATATTAAATGCTTCCGATATTACCAACGCCGTCAACGTGTCGCTCATACTATTTACATCATCTTATACCCCACAAATTTCGGGAGGCCTCTGCACCACCACGCAATACCCCCACAGGACATGTGCCTATCATATGCCGTCGAACTCAATCTTCCAACGTCCAAACAGGTAGAACGAGATACCATCAATCCATCCGAGATATCCCACCATCGTAATCTCGGACATAGTCCCCTTTCTTGAAGTAGAACCTCTGAGCCTCCGCCCCATTTCACTACAGTCTCTTAAACCCAACAAACTTATCCCGTCTCTCAAACAACGGCGATTCCAACAAAAATTCACAACCCTGCCCCGCATCAAGATCGATCAGCCTCTCGTAAAAATTCCGGGAAAAAGCGGAAAGAAAGAGCATGTATACACACCACCCATCGCAAACCCACACGTGGTACGACCACCATATCGGTAGCTAGCCCCACCGCCAAGATATAATCTCCGTGGGGCCCTCACCACCGCCGATGACATCCTCGAACTTGGTGGTGTATTTGCTGCCTGTGTAGACGAGGAGGATGTGGCGCTGATCCGCCGCCTTGCTGTACTTGACGGAGAGGCGACCGGCCTGCTCCTGGAGTGAGATAAAGTAGCGATGTCAGTAACTGAGACGTTATTCCGGTGGAGTACGTAGCATGAGGGGAGTGCTAGTGGCTCACTTGTGCCCACGCCCCACGCTCGCGATGGGTGGGGTCTTTCATCTGCAGCATGAGACTGATTGTCGTCCCCCAGCTTGTCCGCTGTGATTGTGGATGAGAGGAGCATTGGACGCGTGCGCCAGCTTGTTGCTGGTTTGGGTTACTGGCGCGTTTTGAGGTTATTGAATCGTTTCGTTTTGGAAGACACGATGTTTGTAGATCTGGATTGAAGGACGGAGGATAGGGGTGGGGCGCCCTCTATCTTAAGCTTTATGATAGCAGATCATAGCTAGCACTGTAGCTGGGATGTTGGCGGGGCGGGCCGCTCAGATAACTGGCACATATGCCGATCTGATTTATAAAGGTTCCGGATTGTTGGGTGTACTATTGGTGCCATGGAAGCCGCGCAATTTGGCATGGTGATGCTATGGCTGCATGTATGTTTTGCGATGCAGGGGACCTTTTTGTGCTGTTTCATAAGATGTGCTTTTTAAGACGACTGGCCACTGATAAGTACCCTGTTTAAATAATAAGAGAAACAAAAAGGTGAGGATGAGTGATCATGATAGAACACACAATTGCAATACCACGACAACTACAAGTACTTGTGTTGTTATGTCCTCATAACACCTCGATAAACTTGTTATTCGCTAATATTTATATCCGAGAGCCATTCAAATGCCTTTTATTCCATTCGGATACAAATTCAAGTACAAGTAATGGACACGACCATCTTTCGTCACGTCTGGGGTGTTGAAAATCAAGGGCGCCAGGTGGCTGGCCAGTATATGTAAAGTACGCAGAGATTGGCCTGCATGTATATAGCGCTCGCTATTCTAATTCTTTATTGCTTAATTTCCTGATTGCATGATGGACATCAACCCTCTCGCAACTCAAAGGCTATCCAGAGCGAGTACCATGTGTAATGTAATTGAAAACTGAAACTACATACGTAAATTTGTCTAAAGGGTCGACATGATGAAGCACAGTTACGGTTTCTAATTCCATCGTAACATACTTCTCAGTAACCTTATTGCTCTTACCACCCACTGGACGAACACTCTTTTCTTCATTACCGTCTTCCTCGTCTTCCCCATCATCCTCATCCTCATCCTCATCCTCTCCTCATCCATATCCTCATCCTGACCCTCGTCCTCGTCCTCATCTCCCTCGTTAATCTCAACATCCACCACATCATCTATCCCTGTTGGCACTTCTCCCCTAACGCCTAGACAGGGCTTCCATCGATTGTTCGGCTCAAGGAAGCCTTTCTCGACTTTACGGCTTGAATACCAGCTAAACTTGACTTTGCACGGCATATATCTGTTCATCCTGCGCGGCAAATATGCGTTGATACCTGTGGCCTTGTCCATTTCCAGCACTTATCTCAGTGATAAGCTCGATCCCGCCAACCCCGGGTATCCCACCACCAGTGATTCGGGCCCCCGCCATCAACTCCCTACCCTCAGAGATGCGGGATCGCTCGGTGACACGGGCATCGACAAGAGTGTGGTATCCAACAACCAGATAAACATTGTCAGCATGCTCTATCGCGTGCTCAAGCCACGTGCGCGACTCGGGGGCCCCGCACGCGCGGGCAAACTACGCTTTCGAGTTGTCGAGCAGATATGTGAAGGACTTTGCTGCGGAGAAATCGACGGTATAGTCGTCCCGGTTTTCAAACGACATGGAGAGAAGGCTGGCAAGGCGGGTCCGGAGGCCCGACGCTCGCGCTGAAGACCTGATCTCCTCAAAGTCATGGAGCTGTGTTTTGGTGAATTTTGGTACTTCGGTGGAGGGGTCGATGTAATCTTGCTGGGGATAGCGGGTATTGAGAACTAAGCGGCCGAGCTTGATGGCCTCAAGCGAGAGAGGGCTGCTTGGGAAGATGATTTTTTGGTGCCATGGAGAGCGGCGTTCTTGTATGTCCCGATTGAATTCTCACAGCGAGAAGTCTTGTCGGTGGAGGATACGAGGAAGCAAGGACTTGAGACACGACGCTTGTATGTAGTAATAAAAAGTGGGAAACTCTTCGCCAAAGCAGTCTCGGAAACCTCGAAATCGTGGTGGAATAATTAATCGTGATCGTTAAAGATAGAGATCGAAATAACCAGCATTTTCCCCACTGTCTGAGGGCTTCCCCGTGCAGATTCCTGAAGCTGTGGTCGCGGGAATCGGAATCAATGACCAATGGAATATCCTCTGTATGCCGATCTGTCTCTATATCTCCATTCGCACATATCGTAAAAATGGACACTTCTGAGGATGATCAACCAATAGTTGAAGAATTCCTGGCAGGAGATTAATAATTTGGTCTTGGCGTTATAAACCAGCTCTGTCAGACAGAGCCCGCATTCACCCCACCGCGTGTAGTAGTGATAGCCTGATAGAGGTTTGGTAGCTGGAGTTCCGTCAAAGGAACCGTTGCTAGCCATGAGTTCACTATCATATAGCCACATAATTATATAAGTGCTTACATAAATTAATACGGCTATAACTGATATCTAAATAATACTCGTAATTTCATAGCGTTTGTGAATACAGCTGGGTCTGCATACACCAAATTAGATCTGGAGCCTTATGCTCGATTTTGCGGGTATGCAACCCAGTTGTGTTCACAAACGCTATGAAATTACGAGTACTTATTAAGTGAGCTGTTCCAGAAAGGAACCGGAACATGATACTCACCAACCATTTAATATTTGAATTACTCCCTCGGTCTAGGCCTCGACATTTATTTAGCCCTTCCTTTCGCATTGAAAACTCGCGATACCCAGATAAGCAGCTGAGGTAGGCTCATATCTACCGAGTATAAAGCTATCAGGTTGAGTTACATTGCTGATGGAGATGATGGTACAGGAAATTTCAAATCTAGAGATTTTCGGACACTACCCTACCCCGCGTCAAAATAACCATGGTTGTTCATTCACACGGGGGCATGAGACATATCTGTCGCATGAATATATATCTATATATATATATATATTTGTGGCGCTGCTACCGTAGAAGTACCTATAACTACGTTGTGTGTATGTAATACGAGTCGAATCCACTGTAAGAAAATAGCGTGACTAGGTTAAAAAATAATTTTGCGTGAGGGACTGTGGTTTAATTAGTTTATCGAGTGATGATTTATGATCCTTGGCGCTGTGATGCAGGTTACTGCAAACGTGTGGGACAGGGACTCAAGTGTGACGTGGCTCAACCCACCTCGTTTTCGGTGTTCGCCATCGGACCGGTTTCGTCGTTGACCCAGAGACGACTGGACCTAAATAGGAAACTACGTATAGTCTATATTTTTTTTTTTTTTTTGTTTAATTCATTACGTATAGTCTATATATCCACGAGTAATTCTACTAAATCTTTCTAATCACTAATTGGTTTGAACTGTGCGGCTTATAGTGGGCAGCTTATTTGATCCTCAGCTTATAAGTGGCACTGCTGCGTATTAGGTCCTCAGAGCTATAGCTCGATGTACTATATAATAAAATGAGTCTGAATTCGCTCCAGGTTTTCCAATATCTAGTTACATCCAGCTCGTAGTACATTTGTGATATCGTTCCCAGTAAATTCATAACTTCGTTACCTACTTGACCTGAACCTCCGAAACCTCGACGTCTCCCAGCTTGATACCATAATAATCCCCATCCGCCGCACGGTCAACCCGTACACCACATTCGTATCTGGTCATATCTCTCCCCCAACATCTGCGTACCCCAATCTCCCCAGTTCTGAAGCAGTGCTCTCTCCTAGCAACAGGTACTCAGGGACAGATCCCCAGGCTATTATCACATCACCTCCCCGGGAAAGCTGCCAGATTGAACCACAGCAAGCGACAACCATATATGTCATCAGTACAGCTATTGCGAGTATTCCTGTTATGCCTACCACCATGTACCCATAAAGAAAGTGCTGCACCCGAACTGGTGAATAGACAAAAGAACGATAGTCATCAATCTTCTCAATAAGTGAGCCAGGAGCGAACAATTCTTTGGGCACGGGGCTGTTCTTGCCGTAGTAGTAGGAGTAATCATCGTGCACCAGCACATACTGGCTTAGACTGCGATCCAGTAAGGACAGTAAGGTGATCCAGGGCCCACCCACAACCACCTCTACCGTTGAGGCTTCAATAAGGTCGGTCAATTGTGCCATGTTATTTCCCGCGAGCTGATCGTTCTTGATTTTTAGCTCTTCCGGAGTGAGTCCGGTGGCCAGCGGTTGCCATATCGGCAGCCTCCTATTGTTGGTTGAATTCACCAGTCTTTCCGCCCATAGCCGAAAATCTTCGCTTTTCGTCGCTCCACGGTCAGAACGAGTCAGATTCGCTTTCGAGGTGGAGGCATTGCTGGGCACCCCATATTCTCCAAGTGAGTGTTCGTAATCCAACCAGCCCTTGCGAAAGGTGAAGTTTGGTGATGTTTTCTCAAAAGTAGACCTGTTGGCGTACTCATACACTAGATTCGAATGATACTCGGCTTGGTAGACATCGTAAACCTGGCCGGCTAGGGTTGCCGTTGCAGACGTCAATGACGCCTTATTTGAACAGACAATGAGGTCTTCCGCAAATTCAAATACGAATAGAATAGAGTCGGTAAAATCGCTGTGAGATGGGAGACCGGGACCCTCGGTGATGTGAAACCTGGGGAGCCAGGTCTCTTGTTCATTCGTTTCTCTCTGGCCGGAAGCGTTTTGGGGGTAATCGACAAGAAGTAGAAGATCTTTGTTTGTGAATAATTTATTGCCGTCAAAGTCCTCCGTTGTGGGAGCTTGAAAACACCACTCAGTGGCTGTGGTGGGATTGGTTATGGGTGTTGTTGGCTGGCTGTCGCAAGATAACCTCAGCACTCGTCTACACACCGCCGAGGATGTTACAGCCGTGATTGTGGCTACGAAATGTGTCGGTGAGGCGTTATTCTCGCGGGAAGGCCTGTATGTGATGTTCCCTTGGCCTACGTAGGCAACATCATCATACATCAGAGTTTCAAACTTTGTCTCTCCATTCCACTCGGAGTCTACCTTTAATGTGCGATTCAGGGTTGCAGTTGTGCTGCTGTTTACCGACAACCGGTGTGAGAAAGCGTCAAATATATGCGTTACCTGAGGAAGGTCCTGGACGTATAGCTCAGGGTTGCTACTCCCGAATGCGGTTTCGGATCCACGATTTTTCCAATGAGTGCCTGTATCGTTCCAGTACATGGTACTTGTATACGTCGAAGAACCGTTTACGTCGAGCGGGCTAAGGAATATGTAAGGATGACCTGGTCGTATAACGCCCGTGTCGAAAGTGGAAATTGAAGATTGGTTCCAGTTTTCGATGATTTTGTCCTGGGTCAATGTTTGCTGCAAGAACCAGTGTTGAGCTGGTATCATGAGCACCGCGCTCGAAGGGCCGACTGTTGCGCAGAGAACGGCGGCAATGAGGAGGAATCCTGTTATAATCAAAACTGCCCGTCTCCTGCTCCTAACGGTTTTACTCTCGTTTCGGCTCGGGCCGCTGAAATAACGTAAGCCATACTTGAGCGCCGATCGATAGCCATTCGAGATGAGAATGCTTGGTGTTGCGGTCACTTGCTCGGCCCCGACAAGCGCAAGTATCGTCCCTTTCTTACTGATGAGTGAGCTCTGGATTAACTGGCGTGCTAGATTGGCGAGACTGAGCACAATGGCAATCTCATGGGCCTTTGCAACGAATAGAAGGATGTTGAGTATGGCCTTCGTCTCGATTTTCGTCCGACCAAGCTCTAGGCCGATTACGTGATCGATTAAGTTGAGGTAAATAAGGACGACTGATGTGGCGACTGAAAGAATAGTCCAAAGATGCCATATAACATTGTGATGGAACGTCCTAAAAACAGGAAGCTGTGCTTGTACCCCCATTGGCACCTGTGCAGTCAAGTGGCCTGTGGGGATAGGATCTAGACCAGAGAGAACCGGATCTGGAGAGGGGGCCAGACCCGGAGAATTCTGCCTAGGTAATTGAAGCATTATAAGAACTTAACTGGGTGGGAAAATTAGTTTGACATTGTTGACAATTTCGGAAAATGGACATCCTTCTAAAATCTTACATTATATTGTCGTTCTGCTTCCGGTGGAGGTAGCCACTTGAGGGCGGGTGGGAAGAATACTAGTATCCTCTGTGATATTTTCTATCGGATTGTCTATATAATTTTGTGGTAATGGTGAAATCGAAGCTAGCTGAGGGTTTGTTTGATTCGGATGTTTATGAGCGAAGAGAAAATACTATTACTAGTGCTAGGGAGTAAAAGAAGGGTAGAATAATATACTGCGGGAATGGGGACTTTTCATCGTAGCCAGTCCTCAATGTGCATGCGGTGTGCTCTGTTCACAAGTACCGCTAAATCTCGAGTTAGTCGGGGGGTTGCCAAGCTCAGCTGCTAAACTACATTTAGTTTAGATCCTGCAGAAGAGGGCTGTTTTATTGAAGATCTCTGCCTCTAAAGGTGAAGATCCTCAGCTTTTTGCCTTGGCAACCCCCCGAATAACTCGAGATTTAGCGGTATGTATGCCTATATCGAAAAAACAACTTAATCGTATACTCGCAGTTGTTTTGGCGCTTCCGGACGCAACTTCTATTGCATACACAGAAAAAACTCACTAAGGCTATCTTTTGTATGCATGAAATAGGTCAAAGGATGTGTTGTGCAGCGCAGAATCGACACAGAGTTACACAGGGGACCGAATCACTTTGAACGAGGCTGTGATAGGTACCACCAAAACTTCGTTATCTCCAGGCATTATCTCTCGAGTGACTGGTTGGATGGGATCGATATGCATCAGACGTTTTCCATAGAGGTAATTTTGATCTCACAGATCTTTCTAACGAATTACCTTTTGCGGTATTCGATCAAATCATGCTCTAGCCAATGTCAAGGCCGGGCACGATAGGAGTAGAGTAGGCATGTATACTTATCCTCCAGACCAGAATCTCAGTGACCTCAAATGAACATAATGAATCTTGGAGAACCTATCCTAAGATGCGTGTCGAAGTCATGGGCTTTCGAAACTGGATACGTTATATTAACTACAATAGAGGATTACAGTTATTAGAAGATCCTTATTGGCCGAGTCAGCCACTTAAACCCCGGCTTCTGCTCCAGAGTACAACAATTCTTATTAACCTCATTTTCTTACGTAAAGTAGCTCCTCACTCACCTATCATAATTCAATTTGTAGAGAAACAGCCCCAATCATATTTCCAATAGCCCCGATAGGTTACGTTTATAGGCCGCCATATAATCAGAGGGAGCCACCTCGTGGCCGGGAGATGTGCTTTGATATCAATCAAGTACATTCACGGGGTGAAGACGGGCACTGGGCGAAGACGGACACTGGTCCACCGTGTTGACGAGCAGGGATTCTGTGTATGTATGGTGAGAAACAGCCAAGCTTCGGAAATAATTCTTTTGACGGTTCCTATTCGTTGAAACACACCTGTCCGTCATCACCCCGTGAACGACTGTACCAAGTGCGGAAGGCCACCAACGTAGTATCCGCCCCCCCAAACCTCACTTTCTACTCCTGCTATCTCCAATTCAGCTCTCCCTCTACAGCTATGGGGGCCGAAGGCCCACGTGCCACTTCAGTCAGTTAGGATCGGTTCAGTGGTGAGTACTCAGTATTTTGGCGCGACCGATCTCGTTCCGCACGTATGGGGCAACCGCTCCTCCGGGGTCACTGAGATCCCCATGGCCACCTGCGGCTGAACTACTCATGGGGACCACCACTAGTCGTGCATACCTAAGTGAGGTGAAGACGGGCCTTCTGTACCTACCGCTGTATTTGAGAAAATTCGTTACGCTGTAGCGGGGGTCTTCTCTACCAAATCTTGCATATTTACGTCTAAATACTGCCTCTGGTTGGCTCATACCCCTGCTGCAGCGCAATGAATTTTCCAAAATACTATGGCTCGAGAAGCTATGGTGTGTAGGTGTGTAAACTTCGGCGTTTGCAGCCAATCAATCTATAGGAATTGGGAGATCTACCCCATAATGGTACTAGCGCCTAGCCTGACGGTGGAATTTTCTCTAATTCCCATACAAAAAGGTTCCTCTGAAGTTGACACACCCACCCCCTATGCCTTCTCGCGCCATACGGTACACACGGTTGGTTATATAATTATAACTATTGTCTAGCTCATAGGTGCTTAAGCGAATGGTGTAGGTACTCTAGATCTTTCAGCTCGCAAATCCCTGAAAACCACGACTTATCGATATGCACACAGTTACGCCAACTTAAGTAGCGAAAAATGTGATTGGACTCGCTTCAAGGACAGGGTCCACATCCGCAGCCGTGCCTTGCTGTAGCTGTTACACGTTGTTGCTGCTACATCCGAAGGATGAAGACCCGAGCTTATAGAGTGCGTGGTTTTCAGCGATTGGGAGTTGGGGAAGATTGCAATGGGTAGTAGATGGGGGTTTATTGTAATGGGGGGTTTATTGTAATGTATTGCTAATCTGGGTAGTAGAGTTAGTAAGTAGTGTGCCTGATATAATGAAGGAGTATCTTAGGTCCACGATGTGTTCTCCAAGTCTCAGACTAGCAGGTGCGATGATAGAAATCTTTTGTCCTCATCCAATCTCCCTTCGCTTTCTCACCTTGATGATAATGCGAGTGATTGTTCAGAACTAGTTGCTATCAGTTCGATCTCGTACCATCAAGCCAATGACTAGAAACAGTCTTGGGACATCTGGGGCGCCCTGGTACCCCAAGACGAGACCTTATTTTTTTTGCTGATGTAGTAATAAAAGCTTTAACTTCAATGAGGTCGTTGAATGCTATGCACAAAGAATAGAGATTGCTTAGTTTATTACCCTTGACGAGGGACTTAGACAGGTAGGTCTTGAAGCCTACGATTGTTTTATAGACTCGATGGAATAGTCTTACGTTTGACCGCGGGCTGGGAGAACGATACATACTTCAACTTTCAAGTAGCGGAATTGGTAATATATCCCTCTGTAATTGAATCCAGGCCTAGGAGAAAGACCGAAATACTCATATATCGTGATCGTTTCATATTGTGTGCATTACGAGATTGGATTCTGGGGGGGGGGGGGGGCGGGACATATAAGAGCTGATCATGAGTTTGAGCTGTAATGGTTGCAATGCTAAGGTCAATAGGAGTATTTTTTGAAAAGCTTTTACGATGGCATGGAGATGATTATATTCTTGGGTTCACAAGGTAGCGAGTGTAATTTGCATCCTATGCAGAAAAGCATAGTCGGTTCAAAAGGAAACGGGGGGGCAAAGACAAATGGTATAGATTGTATTTTTATAGTTACTTTTCGTTTCTTTATTATTGAGATGGTTGGTAAACGGAGAGGTGTTCAGCAGAGTAATCTGCGATATTGTTATAGCTGAAAGGCTGTATACAATTAATGGAAAAAGAAGAAAGAAAGAAAAAAAAAGAAGAAGAAAAGATTATTCTGAATCGGTAGGAGAACATGGGATATCACTCGATCATTTGCCATCACTCGTCGGAAGGTTACTGACACACGTTTAATTTTTTTTGTTTCTTGTTTAGTGCTTTAATTAATTGAACACACGTTAACCAGAACGAAACCTAAATTATAAAGTAGTTGTTCTTAGGACTATTCATCTCCACTATATTATCGGAAGAGGGCACAACCGAACATTCTGGACGGCGCGGCGCGGGCCTACATCCAGCATAGAAAGCTTTAGATAACGGAAAAGGTTTCAAGACAGGTCAAAATCGACACAGTAGGCTTCCACGGTTAGCTTTGTACACTTTATGACTTAGAGGATGGGTTCCAGGTGCCGTTTTTCGATTATATTTTACCACACCAATAAGTACTTCTATATGGTTATTGCCCACTCGTAGTAATCAGATATCCGAGGTTTCCACCCTTTTCAAGTCATGTTAAATATCCGAAAAAGAAATTGTTCCGTTCGTACATAGACTAAATTTCCTGACACCTTTCGTGTTCAAAGCTTCCATGTGTGATAGGTGTAGCCTGGTTGATTGAATTCTAGGGTGTGGTTGTAAGGTGGCTTGCGTAACCCTCGGAAGCTTCGAAAACCCCGAACAACTACGGGGGCCTTTGGCTCTTTTCGAATTCGGGGTGGGTGAACGGAACCGCTAGGCTGGATATGAGCTGTGAGGAACAAACATTTCGTTTGAGAGTGGTTGGGGTATGTTTGGTGGTTTTCTCGAGGTGCTTAATTCCGTCGAGGAGATGGAGTGTTATCGAGGCGGTACAAGAGAAAGTGTAAGAGCTCGCGCCCACCCCATATTCGGAACCAACTGCAGAAAGAGTTCTTTTTCATGAGTCGCTATAAGAGATACCATAGGGCAGGCTAAGAGCGCCTCCAGTGTTGTGAAAGTTATCAGAAACCTTATCTACATGTACCAAAGCCCTGGTATACGGTGTGGCTTAGTGACTTTGCCATAATACATAGAGCCACAGACAAAGTGACTGAGCCACTGCTTATGCCTCCCACATGTGGAAGTCGGGATCTGCAGCCCAAGGTACAATCTATAGTAACTCACGGGGTGAAGGCGGATCCTGTCTAATGGTGGTCAGGGATTTGAGGCCAATAAAAGAGCTAGGTTTTGGACGCCAAGGGCAAATTACTGCAAACAGCACCATCAGATAGGATCCGCCGTAAGTAGGTGAGCGACTGTATATGGTGTACCAGTATGTGGCTGAGGACGAAGAACACGTCAATCACTTTTGATCAGACCTTCCACATTTCCCCACTGCCGTTTCACAACATTTTTGAATTGTTTTTCCTATGTTACCTTTAAGGATGGGGGAGCCATACTTGGGATTTCGCCTGTACATATCAGTAAAGAATATACAACCTCCTTAGAGTCTCTTTTGCGACTCAAATCTTTCTATACGGCTGGAGCTTGTTCCACTACTTGATTCCACATATCCTGTATGACCTTAGTCACGACTCGGACCGTGAAATGGTATTTTGGGACTAACATGTTCTGTTCATTAAAGGCAGGCCTAGGATACATAACCCCTGCCCTGCATAAGTCTGCCCGTTCCGCGTAATGGAACCTATTACCTTTCCCATCGGCACGTCTATCGGCCTAGCTGGCCTATACAGCGTCTGCCTGCAAGCGATGGAGCAAGTCAGCAACGGGAAGAACTTTTCGGACGATTCACAAATGCTCTACGCCCTCTTTGAAACTGAGAGATACCTTTTCCAGGTATGGGGCAAGAGAGTCGGTATTGAGAAACAGTCCGACTTTCATCGTTGTCTAGACCCAACATCGCCTGAGTACCCGAGGGTTCGGGCTATCCTTAAAGGTCTTGAGACGATCCTGAGTAATGGAGACGATCTTTGTAAAAGGTATGGAGTGGTTAGCAAGAAGCATATATCGATCAGGCGGAAGTATGTGTGGGCGGTAAGTGACAAAAAGAAGTTCGATCGCCTGGTGAAGGATATTGGGACACTGGTCGAAAAGCTATCCGCTGTAGCTTTCTTTGAGGAAGACTCCCGATTTGATACGGATAAGATAAATAAGAGCATTGCAACTTTGATGGCCGCTCTGGACGGTATTTACGTCCTTTATCCCTCTAGCACGCGCGAGGCCTGGCTAATCTGGTGTAGAAACGGATCACAAAAGGGCGGAAGAAACGATCGAGCAGCAGAAACACCGCTTGAAGGTGGAGAACTATATTGAAAGTAAGACTCAAAAAGCGCGGGAGATGGTTTGAGTACCTTAGGACTGATTTCCTCTAGATGAGCGGAATGAGGAGGTCTTGAAGTGGACTGGCGCAATCTCGACGGAAAAAGAGTACGATGAAGCCAAGCTGGAGAGAACACCTGGGATCTGCGGCTGGATCTTTTCGAATTCAAAGTTCACCAGGTGGCTTTGTCCTGAAAGCGGCATCAACACATCCAGCATTTTATGGATGCACGGCGGGGCCGGGATGGGTAAAACATTTATATCCGCAAGGATCACCGAGTATTTACAACATCAGTTTCCCCGCCCAACGGCCTTCTTTTTTTGTACTCATTCAAATGCCCAGAAGAACCAGACAATAAACATAATTCGCTCCTGGATTTTCCAGTTAGCCAAGCAAAGTCCTCAAGCCCTTAAAATCGTCCGCGGGCTCCGATCCTCCCACAACGAGGCGGTTACCACTGTCCTATGGGAAACCTTTGAGGTAGTATTAAAGCATATAAACTCTTGTTATCTTGCTTTGGATGGGCTTGATGAGTGTCTTGACTTCGACCCTACCTCATGGAGCCGAAGAAGAGGTGAGATGAAGATCTTTATCGAAAGACTGATTAGTTCCATACCCTCAACTGATGTGAGGCTTCTCATGCTCGAACCATTGCGGAGTTCGAACACTCCCGTTGCCACCACGGCGGCATTTGAAGAATATCAAATAAATAGTGAAGATAACAAAGCGGATATTATATCCTTTGCGGGTGATCTCTCTGAGAGCCTTGGATTCCGCGACAAAGATAAAGAGGAAATATGTAACAAACTATCTGAGCGCTGTGAGGGAACTTGAATGTTTCTATGGGCCCGACTTGGCGGCGAAAGGTTGCATACGGGAATGGGGTTCAAAAGGTTGGAGACGGTACTCACCGAGATACCGCCAAGATTAGATCATGCCTATGAGCGAGATCTCCAGACGATTCTGGAAAAGGAAAAATACCATCAAGATCAAGTGATTGTAATCTTTCGTCTGGTACTCTTCTCCCTGCGGCCTCTGTCTGTCAAGGAATTGCTTCGTGCCCTTGAAATCAACGACTACCAAGAGGATATCGATGGGACAACAAGCGGCTTCAAGGAGGAGGCCATTCCTGCCATAGATATTGACGTAGAAGATAAGTTAGCTGCACTTCTGGAGAGATGCGGCTCACTTCTCGGGGTTTGAAAAACTGAATCTGCCTCTCCTGGTGATTGGAATATCTAGTTCATCCATTTCTCTGCCAAAGAATACTTACTCGGTTTACAGAGCGAGGACTGGAGGGACCCTGGGGTTCCAAAATTCTCTTTTTCGCACCCGGAGGAGAATCATGCTATTTTGACCAACACATACCTACTGTACTTGGTAATATCAGGCCTGGACCGTCTCTAGAGGACAACTGTAAATGGCTTCGTCCTTTAGCTAAATCACTTCGTCGTTTAAACTGCCAAGAAGTTGCAGATAAGATAATTGAGCTCAGTTTAACACCAGAATTTTCCACTGTTCAGCTAAATGACAATTTAACCAGCAGCCAGCTATAAAAGGCGCACAACCATGGGTGGCCTTTCTCTTCTTCAACACAAACACCTCCACAATAATTATCACCAATGTCTTCAGCATCATCCCTTCGCCCTATTTACATCAGGTTCATCCTATTAGATCAGTGCCCCACCTGTTCCCCTCCGTTCCCCAACTGTTCCCATCTGTTCCTTTCGTTGTCCCCTCTGTCCCCCCCCCCCCCCTTCCCCACCTGTTCCTCTACGTTCCCCACCTGTTCCACTACATTCCCCACCTGTTCCACTACATTCTCCCCTTTGCTAACGTAGTTCAATGCTTAGAATCACCATCACCATCACCAGTGTCAAGGTAGGTCATATCCAGCCCATTAAAGTTCAAGTTACTAATTGGCAGCAGCAGCGGGGCAGTGGAAGCATCAGCGGGGCAGCAGCAGTAGCAATAGCAGTAGTAGCAGTAGCACCAGGAACAATAAAATAAAATTATTTTATATATATATCTAAATGACTTCGTCACTTATACTAAACGATTCTACTAAACGACTTCGTCATTTATAGTTTGCTACTAGAGCGTGGGCAGGAGATGAGTGACGAGAGGTTTTTAAAACAGGGTCCTCCGGGCCGAGACACAACGTGTGAACCCCGAGAGAGGAAATGGGGATTCTATAATTATACCCGCTTCAATTGGGGTAAACATTTGAATCTATGCGGGACCAAGGTATCTCAAAGTTATGCTATGCGACGAAAAACATTTCTTGATAGCAACCTGGCCTTTGACAGCTGGAAACTGTCTTTATCGCCGCGTGTTGTCCGTGCACCAGGTACTCCCACCTCCGCAGTACATATAGTAGAAACGGCCATTGATCGGGTTGTGGGCTCTGTTTTTTCTTCCTGGTATTCTCGGGTTCTGGCCAGTTGCATGTTTGGAATGACGGATTTCCTGAGAGAGCTCTTGGCTCAAGCCGAAGAAGGAACAGCTCAATATGCTTTACTAATTGCCGTATATTGCCAACAGCCGGCCGTGGTGGAGATGCTCATACAAAGAGATGATGTTGACGTGAATGAGCGCCCAGACGGAGCCAATACGACGACGTTGCTCTACCGCGCTAACCAATTGGGAGTTGAAAGATATCGTCCGGATGCTGCTTGGGCGACCCGAGCTACGCGTAAACGACATTTTCAAAGAACTCCTAGAACCTGGGACCGGGAGGGAGTTGTGGAAGATATTGCGGGGCCCTTTACCGCAGCAAACTGGCCGCTTCTCTTCTTTTTTCCGTCTTTTGTGTGTTTTATTTCATCAACTATATTTGTGTTTGAGGCCAGAGATCGATCCCGCCGGGGGGTTACAAGAAGTCTATTTGCCAGTTCCGTTGAACACATATCACGGTTGATTGGTGCTAAGGTCTAGATCTCGTGTGTGTATTGTTTGCTATAGATCTAGAAGGTAGTTTCTTGATGACGTTGAACGAAGGATTGAATCTGATGGATTTGTTGAATACACCTATATATCTGTTATTTCTAGGGCCCTCCGGTTATCGGCTTTACGAGTGGTGGTGGGTGATTGTTTCTAGTCATCATTTAATTAAATAGAGTTAACTGGACGGAATAATCATTGGGGGGGATGTATAATGGGTTACCTTTTTTACTTTCCTGCTAGACGATCTATATCTTGTATTTTATCGTTGCCACAATTGCAATTGGCTCGCTTAAGGGCGATCTTTGAGTCCCAGGGTAGGCAGTGTGACACCGGCCGGGTAACTAGTCTTGGCGCCCACTCAATTTTCATCACCAACCCAAGTTACTAGAGTAGAACCGGCCATCACCTCGACACACTCCTCAAAACACCACATCAGCCAACATGCAACACTCCTCCTGTCTTTACCTGATAGCCGTACCACGGCGCATCTGCTCTAGATCTATCTACATGTATCTATCTATCCCTCAAGTCCTCCTCTCGTCTTAATCTCGATCTCGATCTCCCTTAGGTTGCGACCGGCACCCTTTTTGCCAAGCCAAAAAACACGTGAAACAAGTTATGTCGCGTCGTCGCAGGTGGCTGGCTCCCTAACCTCCCTTCCTCCCAACAACAACACAATACTCACTCCATCACCAAACCTCACTACACCCCATACATAATATATTCTCGCGTCTAGCCCGAGTAATGGTGCGTTTCGACGAACACCCCTCCCTCTCCCCCCCCTTCGCCTCTTGAATGGGCTATCGATACTAACTCCTTTTAGGCGAGTCAGTCCCTTCGTCCTAGGATTCACCGCTATTTTTTGAATACCCCGCCCTCCGAATGGAATATCACCGATTTCCTCAATCAGCAGTGGCAGAGGAGTGATAAGCCTTACGACCATAATAAGGCGGTCGGCAGCTGGGCCACATCGCTCACGCATCTTTCCAAGGATGAGGATCCCGAAAGGGCGTCTTGCGCAAAGCAGAAATGCGAGAGGTTCTATCTCAACAACTGCCGAGTAAGTCACCCTCCCCCCCTCTCCTCCATCCTTCCCCCCTCCATGCAATCCTCTGCCATGTCCTTTCACCGGGCTACAGATAACTCTCGGGTTATCTGAGTTCCTGGCCCGGTGCCGCACTAAGTCGCAGACGAGTTTCGGGTCGTCTGATTCTCGGCTCAGTTTGCGGGTCACCCACGGTTGCAGACAACTTTCGGGTTGCCTGGTCCCCCCGGCCGTGTCGAGACGCAACTCGGTTACACTAGACTCTCGGGTCCTGTGATCTCTGGCCGTGTGACGCACCTGGTTACCAGCTTGACTCTCGGGTCACTGGATCCCTTGTCAGGTGTCCCGCTGGATTACAGGCGACTTTCGGGTCGTCTGAGTCTGGTCCAGCGGGGTTGGCAGTTGATTCCCCCCCCCCCCCCCCCGATGCAGCTCATTAACCTCCGATGCAGGGGCAGCTATCCGATCGAATGATTGCGCAGAACTGGCACAACAGAATGAGTAAGAACAAGAGGAAGAGGGAGTCGCAGCAGCCTCCGGGGATGCCGGTGCCCATGAGGCAGAAAATCCAGAATACGTTTAACATGAATGGCGCGGCGAATAACGTGCTTGGGGCAGTAACAGCGGGGGTGGTGAACAACGGATCTGGAGGCGCAGTCCCGGACACAACTCGCAACCGCGAATCACCCCACCTGGGCCCTACTAGGTAGTTGGTCCGCGGTGATCGAATATGCCTGGATTTCTGTCGACTAACATACCGCCACTGCAGTGAGAATGCGGGTGGTTCTAGTCCCCTTAGCATCGCCAGCGACCCGGAAGAATGCCACGAAAACATACACCTCCAGGAAACACTCCGTAGCCTCGGCCATTTCTACAGCAACATGGCCGACAAAGTTGCCCTGCCTGACAACCGATTTCTAGAAGATGTCCTGTATCAGCACGTTCTTACACTGGAGGAATTGAGCCCCGCCCACTTCTTCATTGTCGACGACAAACTTCTTGATGGGATTCTAAAGACACCAGAGGAGAAGCAGGAGGTGTTGCGCGGGGTAGTGCGATTCCCGCCATTCCCGAAGAACCTGCGGAAAAGTATGATGCAGTACCGGGGCGCAAAAACGGCTGCTCAATGTCGGGCTATTGCGCGAGATAGTCCCGATAACCAGGATATCCAATGGATCGACGATGTTTTCAGACATGTGTATGTCCCCCGCCCCCTCTCTCCCAACCATCGAGATATGGAAACTAACTGCTGGAGGGGATGCTTGGCGGAACAGTGTTGACTTGATCACCAATTCGGGCAACATCCTGTCCTATGACGGCCTTAACGAAGGGGTATGGGACTCCCTTGTCTACCCTCCTCTGTGGGATAAATACCTCGCCAGCATCCACACTATGGTTCTCCAACGGTACACCCCCTCCCCCGCCCCTCAAGCCATCCCGCTTCTCCACTAAACCGCACCTCCCCACCCAGCAAGGAAATACCGCTCGTCGCCCTCGCGCCATATGCGTACCTCCCCGGACGCCCACCCCACTATGATGGCGTAGTCCAATCCCGCGCACTGCGCGGCGGCAAACGGCGCAGCAATCGCTACGAGTTTGCGGTCTTCGAGGTCACGCGCAGCAGCTCGGACACAAAGAAACTGAGTGTAGACCGCGAGAAGCTGGTTGCAGGGTGCCGGGCTATGCTTTGTAGTCTGATGGAGCTGGTCGAGTATGATGCGGAGGCTATTGCGAAGCTCGTGGTTGTGGGTGTGTTGCAGGGTGGTACGTGCGGCTTTTCTATGGTTGCTCCTTTTGTCTATCGTGGGCTTGCTCAGGGAACTAACGGGCGTGAATGATAGGCCTCGGAACTCGTCTCTTGACAATGTCGTGTATCGGCCGGAACGTGTTTTATCTTCGTGAGGGCGAATGTCGGAATCTACCGGTCGGTTTGGGGGGCCTAACTGCGCTGTATGATGTTGTTCTTGATGTCTGGAAGGCAAAGGTGTGCTCCGTCCCCTTCTTGAGTGATAGATGAATAGCGCTGACAGTTCATTGGTAGTGGGCGATTCAAAACACAGAGACGGCAATTGAGGAGTTTCTTGAGAAGAAGCAGTTTCAAGAGGAAGAGGAGAGGGAGAGAAGATGGTTGGAGGGGGAAAGAGAAAGAGAGACGGAGACGGAGGAGGAGGAGGAGGATGAAGACGGTGTGTGCGGGGAATGCCATTAACTGGCCCCGGCTGAAAAATAAGGTTGGCCTGCCCGGCCCAGTGTACCTACTCTGTGGCATGGCCCAGGATACATAGCCGGGTATATGCCCGGGCTAGATAACCGGCCCATACAAGGGTTTATCATTGTATTCCAATAACTGAGAAGGGTAAAGGTGCGAAAAGTTGTGAATCGAGAGCTTAGAGCTGAGAGCTAAGCACGGCCCTATTATAACCCTAGCCCTGACAACCTACCCAATGTCGCGAGGTGTCCGCCGCCATACGCTTAGTTACTAGTAAGGTCCAGTTTGGCTCTGGGTTGGATTAGATGTAGCGGCTGCTGCATACTAGTAGTTTTAGGATCCGGGGTCGAGCGGCTAGTTTGGAATCGCCCAAACAGCGAGCTGTGGCGATTGATGTGGGGAGAGGGAACAGGTACTCTAGGTTGGTGCATGCATATGAATTCACTGGTTCTTACCCTGGTAGACGAGTACATCGATCGACATGTAGTTCAGCACTTCACGCGGATCGGACAGAATGGTGGATTTAGCTAGGTATGTACATTAGGCAAAGATTGCACACCCAATCACTGATAAGTGCAGTACGTGAATAATTTTCAAGAAACCCAAGTGCTTAAGCCGCGATACCATTCAGGAATGCGCGGTTGCCAAGGTTCAATGATGACAGCTCCATTTATCCCTCGACAACGACAGTTAGAGTACAACTCAATAGCCTTCGGATTGTATATGGTTGGGGACGCCTGTAACCGGAGTACTTGTGACATTGGTTTCTGAAGATCATTTCCTAATCGGGCAATTATTTAATGATTTTAGGCCGAGATTAAGTGCCAAGATATGCCAAAACTGAGGTTTGGCACCGCAGACCTTTAGGTTTACCTGATTGGGACAGATATGTCCCAATCGGGTAGGATATCTGTCCCAAACAGGCAATTATGGAGTGACATTCGTTTGGCTCCCTACCAAAAATCCAACTTTTAGAAAATTAATAACTCCACCACAACAAAGAATAAAATTAATCTGGCTTCATTAGGTTGTAGAGAAGAAGTAGAGCTATCACTTAATAGAGAGAAAAATAATCTAGGGTTTGGTCGGGGAAAGTCATTAGCAGTTGAGGTTGACCCCCGAAAGTGGTCCGGTTACATGCGTCCCTAACAATAAGCTTTCGCAAAATGAGACAAATGACCTACATCGACAGTTGGAATACTCTCTTCATTGTAGGGGTTATCGGGCTACTATCTCTGACCACCGGCTCACAGCCAAGGTTTCATTCATTAATCATGCTTTGAACGGCGTTCTGTGGGATACGGTTATATAATGGGACCCCGCTGAAGACGACCACTTATCAATCGCTTTCATAGCGTACATCGTATTCAATTTGATGACGCTGGCTCTGTGGGCTTTACAGACCCTTTTAATCCGATACTTGCGCCCAACCCTAGACGTGGATTATTTACAGAACTGTTGAGTATGACGAGATTAGCATCGAGTAAGTCAGGTTGCATACTGGACCCAGAAATTCAACTTCGGGATATATTGAACTAAGTTGGTCTACAGTATTGTTGCAGTTCATGGCCTTGGATCAAATCCTTCTTGTGCATGTACATTCGAAGATGCAAAAACTGAAAATAAATACATATGGTTGAAGGATTTTCTTCCAAAGTCGTTCCCGAGGGCTCGCATTATGGCCTATAATCACAATACCACCCGGATGCGAAATGCACTGGCCAAATCTGTCAGGGTCTGCGGGGAGCAAATGCTGGAATTCATAACTAAGAATAGGAGAAAACCTGAAGTGCGATCTAGATCCCGATAATGCCGATCGTGAGGCGGCAGCAGCACTGTCAAAGATGATCTTAAGTTAACTCATACTGACCAAAAATATATAGGAAATGGAACGCTCAATCATTTTCATCGGGCACAGTTTTGGTGGTATTATAATTAAGCAGGTAGGCCGATAATATTTTATAATAAATACTATTCTCTCCGTTGTAGAGAAAGTATGTAGGAGAAATAAAGTAATTGATCGTGTTGATTGTTCTAGCTACGGGGGAATGCCTCGTATTTATACTAATGAAAGATTGTACAAAAGAAATACAATCAGTAATAGACGTGTGAGTAATAGAATGACTAATAGTTAAGTGAGTCATGAGTGAGTCATACACCGATGACAAATACTATAATGAAATAATGAGAATCTCCTAATACTATGAAACGTGCCGAGCGCCCTATTTCAAGACTTCCCCTGGTGAGTCACAGTGAATAGTAGAAGAAAATAGAACATGTTTGCCCTTATCCAATCCCTTTGTAAGTAAATCCGCCACATTCTCATTCGTAGAGATTTATTCCAGTTCAAATAATTCATCCTCAAACCGTTCCCGAACAAAATGAAAATGTACGTCAATATATTTAGACCTTTTATAAAAGATGGGATTCTTGACCAAAGAGAGAGAGCCGTTGTTGTCAACGCGAAGGATGAAAGAGAGATTCAGTTTTCGTTCCAACTCGTGGATCGCATTCCTTAACCAGATCAGTTGTCGACTGGTGTCCGAAAGGGCCAGGTATTCCGCTTCAGTTATGGAAGTGGCGATGGATCGTTGCTTGTAAGAGCGCCAGGAGATGAGAGCTTCCCCTAGCATGAAGCAATGGCCGGTGAATGAGCGGCGATCGTCGATGTCGGAGGCATAGCTTGCATCGCTGTAGCCGATGAGTGCAGTTGGTTGCGTTTTGGGGTAAAAGAGTGACCAATCGAGGGTGCCCTTGAGATAGCGGAGAACGCGATGGACCGCAGCTAGATGAGTTTTGGTAGAACAGGAAGAAAATTGCGAGAGCATGGTGACGGTTTAAGCGAGGTCGAGTCTAGTGCCAATTACTGCATACATGCGTGAACTGATTATCGACTGATAGGTTGTTGGATCGTCGATTTTTTCAGCTTCCGTTCCTTTTTGGAGGTGGACGTTGTTGTCAATAGGTATTGCCACAGGTCTGGATTTGTTGAAACCATATTTGATAAGTACACGCTTGAGATAGGCTTCCTGTGATAGGATGATGCCAGTCTTAGTGTGGATCAGGTGGATTCCGAGTGCCCAGTTGGCTGTGCCAGTTTCCGTCATTGTAACGGGGGTCTATGGACGTAGGGACTATGATGCCAAGGAATACAATCGAGGCAAAGACGTAGCAATAGGTATTCGAGACTGTGGACTATGGAGTGGCTCTGCCTAGTATGACTAACTAGTTGAGCCCTATGACGAGGTGTAGAACAAAGTAGTATTCGTGGAGTAAGTACAAGAGGTTCCGTGAAGAGAAGAGGAAAGGAAGGAAAACATGAAAAGACACGAGACAACACCCCCTTATATATCCATCTCCTAGTCCATTGATGACTAACATCTTGCGTAATGGAAACTGAAAGAATATAACAGAAAAACCCATTACAAATCATAGTCCAACTGCGCAATTCCTTCTCTTCACAACCCAATCTATCACTTTAGCCGAAATATAATATTGCCGTTACAGTCATTTCAAATTCAGAACGGAGGAAGAGACTGACGTGGTTTTTGCGTTCAGTAGACCAGTAGAAGATGGAGATATCGTCCACGTAGATTGCGATGACTACTTCTCCTGTTTTGTGTATGAAGACACAAGGGTCGAAGTCTGCTTTTCCGAATCCTATTTTGATTAACGCTTTTGAGAGGCGGGCATACCATTCCCTTGATGATTGTTTGTGGCCGTAGATGCATTTAATTAGTTTGCATGCTTTGATCGGAGTAGGATAGTAGCATGGAGGAGATTTCATATATATTTCTTCCTTAAGTTTGCCATATAGAAATGCGCTTGTGACGTCCATCTGGTCGCATTGGCAACCGGTTTGAAGGCAGCGGGTGAGAAGTAGTCTGATAGATTCGTATCGGGTGACGGGTACATAGGTTTAATCGAAATCTTGACCAGGGATCTGTGAAAAACGCTTTGCGACTAGTCGGGCTTTGTACTGTATGGGGTTGCCATCGGGCCCGAGTTTAATTTTATATACCCATTTGCAGTCGACTAATTTGCGGTAATCCAGTGTGTTAACCATGTCCCAGGTGTTATTCCTTGCAAGTGAGTCGAGTTCAACCTTTATGGCATTCTGACATTTTTCAGAGTCAGGATTGTTCATCTCTTGTTGATAGTTTGTTGGTTCTGTTAGTGTTGTATCATGCTGAATGTTGTATCCATATATGATCGGAGCTTTCCGTTCCCGTACTGAGTTACGTCTCGGCTGATAAGTATTTGATTCATTATTATCATTCGGGGTACGTTCAGTGGCGGGCCTTGTATAACCCGCCCCCACTATACTGGAGTGGTGTTCCGAATCAGTGTCGGAGAAATGTTCCATGGTTTCGCACATTATCTGTTGGTTGATCATGTCGTCGTCACTTGGGTCATCGTCATATATTCTGTATTGTTTGGGTTTGACGGACGTGAGGGTGTTTCTTTTTTGATCCTGATTGATTTTGGTTTGGGGGGTGTATCGGTTTTTGTTTTGACTTCGATTTCTTCCTCTATGGATTTAGAGTTGTAGGCCAGCCGTGAGTGTCAGGCGCGGCGTCGTAATGCCGGGGGCGCCCCCATACCATCACTTGAACCATCACAGGTACCAGCACAACAACCACAATTGATCTTTTGGAGAGCTGAATTTTTGTATAGTTGTTAAATAGTAGATAAATGAAAATAATTTGACATTTAATATCTTGTGTACCAGCCCCTTGCTTTTATAAAAGCCTCAATTCTCCTATGCATACTTACAACCGGTCTACTAAATAAATAATCAAGTAACAGTTCCCAGTAATGAATAAGAACTTCCTCCATGCGGGGCTTAATTACTTGAGGTGATATAGTATCATATGGGAAATGGGGGTACTGTTGATGGTAAAGTCTCTTGAGGTGTACCCAAACATGCTCAATTGGCTTTAAATCAGGTGAATAGGTAGGCCAGTCGTCAAGAAATTCAACCCCATGCTGCTCCAACCATTGAGTTGTAAGGCTGCCGGTGTGGGAAGTTTGGAATGTGGGAGAAAATGACTTGGGTGTGATTTGAACACGTGACTTTGAGGGAGGATGTGTTTTTGTAGTGCGAAGAAGATACTATTGCGCCGCTGAAGTTCCAGCGACAATGTAGACGATTGAGCGCTCTATATATACAGATATTATAATGACACGTGATCCTCCAATTACATAATCCCTGACACTAAGCCTTGTCTGAATCCTTGTTCCTTCTATGAGTCATTCCTTATACATGAGTAATTTCATACATAACCGACGTCGCAATGCCCCATTTCTACAGTGTGTACCCTCGCAGTATCATGCATGAAGATCGGTCTGATACTCTTCTCCTGTAGGTCTCTCAAAAAATTCAGGAAGGAGAACTCAAGAGTGCTGACATATGTCTCTGCATTTGTTCCCCCCACTTCCCCCACCATAACCCTATTACAAGTCCCCTTCAATACTCCAGCAAAGCATGCCCAAATCATTTTTGATACCCCTCCTGACTTCCTAGCATCTTTAATACACTCAGGAAGCCATTTTCCCTTTGCAGTTTTGAATGCCCAAGTGACATATGGATTTGCATATTTCTCAACACTGCATTCATCACTCCACACCACAATTCTCCACCTTCTCATATCCCAATCTCTATGTCTAATACACCACCGGAGTTTTCTTTTTGCATCATATGGGGTCAATTTGGGTCTCTCAGCCATGATATGCTTGTGGACACCAAATGTAGCTAGTATTCTCTTAATTGTTCTAGCTGAAATTTGTACTGCGAATTGCTGATGGAGTTGCTCATATGGGATTTCCTTCTCACGCCTACTAGTGATGAGTAGCTGTCTATCATATCTAGCAGTAGTTATTTTGGACCCCCCATGTCTGGGTGTGGATTTAACTTAACCAGTCCTCTGATACCTTGCCATGGCACTGGCAAGGGTTGAGTTTGGTACTTTGAGGAGCTTAGTAATCATTGGGTATGATGTTCCAACCCGCTTCATTCCAATTCCTTGACATACAATTCCCTCTGGCCACTCCCTCCTAGCTGTTTTCCGGTCTTTAATGGGAATAGTTGTCGTGGTTGTGTAATCCGACGCCGTCGCCATCGCCATCACAGACGTCGTCGCCATGATCGTAGGGTAGTTGTCGTCACACGCGCGCGTTGCACCCTGCACCTGATGCTTACGACTGGTATCGCACTGTATCTTTAAACCTAAAATAACGAGAGAGAACTACTTCCCTTTGTGATGGTATGTAGACTTCACAGATTTTTTCTGAGTCTCCGTATCCGCAAAATTATCCCGTTATAGGCATTCCATGTAGTTTTGTTCCTGATGGTCGTGCTTCTACGGGTAACTGTATGAACATGATTTCACCGAAGGATCAGAGGTGCCCAATGAAGGGTTTCTTTCTGGCAAGTGCTTCATATGGTGTCATATTTGGGAGTGATTTATGCGGGAGGTGGTTTTTGACGTGTACCATGATGTTGATCGCTTCTGTCCATAGATTTTTTGGGAGGTTATGGCCGAGCAAGTTGGATCGTGCCATTGTTGCTATAGTCCTGTTAAAGCGTTCTGCTATTCCATTTGACCCGTAAAAGTAAGGTACAGTGAATTCATGCTTCATGTAACGGGGGCGGACTATCTATGTATCGCTAGAATTCAATAGAATTGATGCGGCCGTGCAAGATAGAAATCAGGTGCAGATTTATTCAAAGATACTATCGCTTAGAACTCAATAATCTTTAAGGGCTCTGCTACCGATCATTCTTTTTTGGTGGAGATCAGGACAGTTGGGCGGGAATGATCCTGAGTACTTATACTCCAAAGGATTCTATTCTCTGCTCACACTTCCTTACTAAATTCCGGTGCTGCCTCCTAGCGGAAGGGAAGCAATACCATTGCTATCCCGCTTCTCTCTAAGCGTTAGCGAGTGCTTCCGGTTCCGAAGGCAACCACCCTTAGTCAAAGCCTTTGTAACACCTGCAGCCTTGATTGCCACACAACTGGGGCCTGCATGAATGAGCTACCTCTCAGGTGTAAGCTTAATCATTGCTGTAGAGCTTTCACTTATTGTAGACTTCCCAGGCATGGTTCCCTCCGCTACCGGCGGACTTCCAATGCTCAGAGGATGTAGAGGATCGCCGAGCACTCAGAGCTTCACTCTGGCTGGCCTTCTCATCATTGGCGAGGCACAGACTCGTCAGTCATTGCTCCCATGAGTAGATCCTCTTCCTAGCGCTCAGAATGTAGTTACTCTGACAGCTGGTAGCTAACCACACTGCCGGTACTTGCATGTCACTGTGCAACTGGCTTCTAACAATAACTCTCAGCATGTAACCGGGCCCTGTGTGTACTCATACACCAGACAGTTGAGATGGCTCCGTTACACTTCATGCCTTTGGAGGCGAAAAATTGTTGGAGGTCCTTGGAGATGTAGTCGCCACCGTTGTCGCTTCGAAACAGTTTTAGCGTTTTATCCAATTGATATTTCATGTATCCGATGTATCGTTCTGTGGCAGCTGCTGCATCTGACTTCTTTTTAAGGAACTAGAGGTGAGCGTACCTGTAGTAATCGTCGATGAAAGTGATATAGTAACTGAAAACTCCCAGAAAAGGAGTCGTGAACTTGCCAATCAGATTTGAGTGTACTAGTTCCAGTGGTTGTTTGAATTGTGGTTTAGTGAGAGGAGTGAGGTGAGATTTGGTTGATTTAGTGAGTTCATATGTATTGTATGATTCTATGTGACCAGATGTGGGGGGAGATTTGGGGTCGGCGACCATGGTGTGAAGCCGTGAGCGCGAGGAAGCGGGGAGATGACCGAGCCGTTGGTGACAGTTATAAAAGCTGGTGGCTGTGGAGAGGTGTGCGCAGGTTTTCTTGGTTTCGAAGATGTAGAGTTCAGTACTGTTTGGGATAGCGATCCCAATGATTTCCTTGCTATTCGGTTTGTAGATGGTAAAGCCGTCTTCCATCCCAATTGTTGTGAATCCCTTTTTGGCGATGCAAGACCAAGACAACAGGTTGGTGTTGCCTAGTTCGGAGATCAAGAATACGTTCTGCAGAGTTATCAGGCCATTTGATCCGTTGATGGTGACGTTGCCTATTCCGGTTATCTGAAGTTTGCGACCTCCTTCAACAGTAACTGTTCCAGTGTGGGGAGTGGGGTCGGTAACCAGCGTTCCGGTCATTTGGTTGATTGCACCAAGGTCGAAGATCCATGCCTTGTTATCGGAAGTGGAAGGTCCTGCAATGAAGCCAAAGTAGTCTTCCATGGTAATATCCGAGGTGTCATCTGAGAAGTTGTTGAGGTCAAAGTCAACTGGCATTGTGAATACATCGGTTTCTTCGAGTGCAGAAAGGCCAGAAAAATCGGGGATCCAAGAGAGGTCAAGTTTTGTATGAAATGCAGTACCTGACGTGACGTTGAGGTTGCCAGATGGAGCGGACTTCTCCTTGCTGAAAGCTTTGAGTTTCCGGCAATCTTTGTGTGTATGGCCTTTTGCATATTCTCCATTCTTGGTGCACCAGGTGCATGTTACTTCCCGATTTTCTCTTTCGTTGTTACGTGATCTCCTGACTCTGTTGTTGTTTCCGTGTCCTGGGTTTCCTCGCCTGATTGTGTAGGCTTCTCCAGCCGCCTGTCTGTCGTTGTTGCACCGTGAGTCCAGATCCAACAGCTTTTCATAGACGTCATCGAATGTGACGTTGGGCTTGGTTTGCAGGTTGTCTACGACTGATTCGATTGATTCGTGCCAGAGTGAGAGGAGTAGGAAGGATGCCTTCGCTTCTGAAACAGATGCGAGTTGCTGGAGGTGGTAACCGAGTGGGTCCTTGGTTTGTGTCTGTAGAGTTACTAGTTCTAGTGAGGAGAGATGACCAAAGAGTGTTGAACTGGATTAGATGTTCCTTAATACCCTTGTCGGGTGTGTACTGTAAGGTAACAACATTGGCGAGGAGCGAGTGGAGGGATGCGACCATTTTCCAATCGAATCTATCTTCAAGTTTAGTCCAGAGGTGGTGAGCAGTGTCAGCCGGTGTCTGCATGAGAATAACTTCGACTTCGATGTTAGATTGAAGGAATACAACCGCGAGGTTGTCCTTTTTGTCCCAGTCGCTGATTTCTTCAGCGTTGTCGGATGTTTCTCTTGAAACAGGGCGCCCGGCACATTTCATAGTTCTGGAAGATTCTCATCATTTCATTATAGTATTTGTCATCGGCGTATGACTCACTTTCCTATTAGTCATTCTATTACTCACACGTCCATGACTCATTATATTTCTTTTGTACTACCTTTCATTAGTATAAATACGGGGCATTCCCCCCTCTAGCTAGAACAATAACACGAT